GGGGAGGCGGAACTGCTGGCGAAACAGGGAGGCTTTGGACGGGTTGCGATCGGAGGAGGATAGGGTAGGAAGGGTGAAATTCGCCGGGTCGATGAAGGACTGGGCTTTCTGAACGAATGACGTCCACTGCATCATGGCGCTCGAGAAATTTGGTGCGGTGGCGTGAAATGAATGAACAGGCAGGTATCCTCCTGCGTCTGGGGTGAGTATCCGGCTGACGGCCGATTCGGACGGAAGCGGGAGCTGCTGGAGCTCAAGCGGCAGTCAGGGTTCGGCGAGGAAGATGAACAGAAGCCCACAAATGATTCACAAGAGGGATCAGGGTCATCGTAGAGAGCTAGCGCAACATCGTCCGGCGAGGGCTTCTGGCTGCGACAGACAGAAGAACCTGGGGCGATGACGGTTGGCATGGTAGGAAGAGGAGGGGAAGGTTGGCGGCGGCCGTTCCTGGCAGGCGGCCGTGAATATCCTCACGTGACAAGGGTCTGTCTTGCTCTGAAACATCCACGAGGCAGCCCCAGTGCAGCTACGTGCACCCCTGCTTTAGTGTAGGTGTTACTGTTCATGCACAGTGCTTCCGCTACGGAACAACTTATAACCATATTGGAACTACATAAGGAAGCTAGTGAAGTCTGACTAGTAGCTTGGTACAGCCGACAGGGAAAAGCTGAGCGCGAACTATAAATCCCTGCGGGAAACCATGATCGAATGAAGATGAATTTGAAGAAGAAATTTCGAAAGAAAAGAAGAAATTGAAACGAGGGTTCGCTTTACAATATCACCTTGAATGAAACAACGAAAAGTTCAGAGATGTATTTGTTTTTGAAGGGGTGCCCGAAAGTCTTGCCAAATCCATCTTTTTGTAGCAAAGATCAAGAACGGTGCAGTATCTTAATGTGCGGTATGAAAGGGCAAATGAGTGCATATATTATTGAGTGTTGAATTAATTCTTGGCCGAAGATACTTCCTCAGCTACAGGCTCTTCATCACTGTACGCCGGGGGAAGCTCTTCAGACTCCATCATCAGACCCTGCTTTTCAGACACGGTACCCTGTTCCAAAGACTTCTTGGGAGTAGACCGGCGGAAACGCTGCCACATGAAGACCACAATCTGACCAACCAGCATACCAAGAGCGCTCGCGGCCAGACCAGCCAAAACACCCAGCACAGCGGGAACGACGATGAAACGGACCACGCGGTGGACGGTGCGTTCCCACTGGCCATGATGCATGTGGTGCATGTGGTGGTGATGGTGGGGGCGGTCAAACTTGTCCATGTGGCCGTGGAACCCAGCCTCCTCTCCCTCCATGGGGGGCATGGGCGGCATGCGCTCAGGGTCAAACTTGTCGTCGGGGTGGTGGTGGTGGTGATGATGAGGCCGGGGCGGGGGAGGCATGCCCAAACCGTGAGGACCACCGCAGCCCTTCGGCTTAGGTGCCATTCCAAGCATACGGGCCTTGGCCGCTGCGAACAAGGCGCGCATCCGGTCGAACAACAGCTTCCTCAGACACTTCGGCTTTCCGCGGCATTGTTTCCAAGAGACGCGGTCGGGGGTCGCTTCTTCGATCTCAGTCTTGGCGATGTACAGCTCGCCGCTGCTAGGGTCATGGAGAAGCGTCAAAGCCACCGTATCCAAGGGGACCGGGCGACTGTCGAGGTCGAGGACAGTGAAACGCACAGCGACCAAATCCATAGGGTCCTCAGGCGGAGTGGGCAAGGGCATCTCCTCCACAGCGTATCCCAACGGGATAGGTTCCGTTTCTACGCCATCCGACGCCCGGCGCTGAACGGCAGTGATGAGAGTGGGAGGTGGCGGAGGGAAGATTTGACGACCGTTGGCCAGAAGGAAGCCATTTTCAGTGGAGAAGTCGACCAACTGCAGCGACTGTTAGCATCCATGTCCCTTCACTACTCCGATGTCGTACTAGACACCGGCTCGGAACCACTTACCAAAGAGGTTTGGAAGCCGTCAGTCCAGCTGACCTTCCCATCCTCGCTGACTTCACGGAACGGACATTCGGTGCAGGCAAGCTCAACCTGCTCTTTCTTGGGAGCATAAACCTCCAAAGGGTGGAGGGGAGGGAAGTCACCCTCAGGGGCGACGGCTTCCTCGACTTCGGGGATAACGAGGAAGGCGTTGGCGCCGAGAGCGAGAACGCTCCCCACAAGGCACGAACGGAGGTGCATGGTGGCCGAGGCGGATCTAAGCCAGGCACCGATAAGACGGGTGGAAAGGCGCTACAAGTTAAGAACGATGAAAGGAAGGGATCGTTTGGCGATGGGAACAAAAGTTATTGAGATGAAAAGCGGATGATATCCAGCTGTAAAAATAAGACACAGATGAATGGGGGGGGAATGCTTTGATGATATGGATTCCACCAGCGAGCGCTTCTTTGCATAGCCAGCCAGGAGGGGGGTTCAAAGGCGAATCGCGCATCGCCCGATTTCTTTCCTGATTGGCTGTTGATGGCGCGCGGGTGGAGCAGGTGACGCATGAAATTCCCACCGCCTGCTTCTTTGGGAGCAGCTGACGCATCCGCTGCAAAATATCAGTCACGTGGTATATATTTCCTAAAATAGCGTTGAATCCCGTTCATTTCATGGTGGTCGATCAGCACCACAACTGCTTTGTAATTTGTACGCATAAGCCATCTTGGTTATCGTAGGCAAGACACGAGGCATGGATAGAAAACTCTAAAATATACTTCCTTCACTCCCTGAGATCGCATACCCGCTCTGTACCAGCAGACCGGGTTCATCTATCATCCCACTAGGCGAGATCTGATATCGACGAATCTTGCGAAAGTGTAATCCAAGCCCTGCATCGACCCTACAACAGGGGGTCCGCTGCCCCGGACTTTGGCCAAGACATCCTCAGGTACCTCATTATATTGCATCCAGACGTCCTGCGTTCTATTCGTCTGTCCGAATAGATTTTCAACCACGGCCGTCACAATAATAAAAGCTCCCACCAAGAGTAAAGCCAACCGTGCCATTATGACAGCGGGTGGTATGGGTACTTGCTCTGGGACACTGACCTGAGGTTCGTAGTACTCTGGTGCAGTTTGGAACTCCCACTGCGATTCCGACCCAGTGCTATCAGACCTATCATCTTCAACGAATGCACCAGGGCCTGAGAAATTAGCAAACTTCTTTCGTGTCGTTCGAATAGGTGGTACTGTCAATAAAGTCGACGGGTTATATCTCTTTTCCAGATATACTGGCCATGATTCGAATTTCTGCGGTGTACGTGTGAGGAATCTTTTTGGCTTTTCTTTGGACTGTGATTTTTTTGACTGCTTGACGCCGGTAACTATAGCCTGAGGCTGAGCTTTTGAAGGATTATTAGCTGCCTGTGCAGCAGCTTTCTGATAATCATGAATCCAACTGATCTGGGGGTCCGAAGACTGACTTCCAAAGCTCGTATTGCCTTGCGTGGTTAGAGCTTGGACAGTTCTCTTGAACAAATCTAACTGTTCTTGCTGACTCTGGTTCTGATTAGTCGCCTCCTGCAACGTCTGCAAATACTTTTGGAAAAGAGTCAAGAATGAGTTGTCTGAATTGGACCCAAGATTCTGCTGATCGGCAGCAATACGCAGCCTCTTGATCGCCTCTTCCGAGCCATCAAAGCCCTGCAAGGCTTCCACTCCAGCAAAAGGTCGCTTCAGGCTGGAACTAGGTACAGGGGCTTGTCCCACATGCGGAATGGCGCCAGTTTTGGCAGCCTGCTGGATATTGCTCCAGTCCACCGGAACCGCCTCAATGGGTGGTCTAAGATTCTGAGCAGGGATCGCTGGCGCGCTGAAAATGCTGCTCATGCTGCCTTTCTGGCCCACCGGTGTCGGGGCATCGCTACTTGCGGTGCTCTGCGATCCACTATACAAGCTACTTCCCAATTCCTGCCTCAGTGTCAGAGATGGTTTCTGGATGTTGAAGGAGCCGAAGGGGTTGCTAGCAATCAGCTTATTCTGGGTGTAAGGAACCAAGGCGGATGACATCGGGTTTGTAGGCTGTGCGACAGTATCTATTGCCATCGCAGACTCATTCGTATGCACCTGCTCCGCAAGCCTATTCAACTGCTTTCTTAATTCAGCATCGTTCCCTTTATATTCATCCATCGCCTGAGCAAGCTGCTTCTTCTCCGCTTCTTGCGCTGCTGATTCCGATTCCTTCGCTGCCAGCTTCTGCTTGAGTTCATTAAGTTCTCGACTTGCTTCAAGCATCTGCTGCTGTAACTTCTCATTCTCACCACGGCGCGTAGCCTCCTCGTCTTTCAACTTCTTCTGCTCTTGACGAAGGCGATTTATCTGACCACTTTGCGCATTGACCTTCGTACTAAGCATGGTATTTTCGCTGTAGGCGGCTTGGACATGCCCCTCGTTCGTCTTGACTTTGGATTCAATCGTTTTGAGATCTTTTTGGGTCTGTCGCAGCTCTTGCTCCGATTGCGCGAAGGCTTGTTCTCGCTCAACAAGCACTTGGTTCAAATCATGGACTTGGCTTGTTAGGTTCTTGTTCTCCCTTTCGAGTTCTAAGGCTTTGCGTTGTGCTTCTGTGAGTTGCTGGGTTATGTTGTCATTGTCCTGCGGCCATTCTTCGGGGTTGTTTTCGGATGCAGTTATTTGCTTATGTGCTCCGATTGGTATCCTCCCTTGGTTGGGTGGTCGTCTGCCTGACATTTTGGCGGGTGTGCAGAATTGGGAGTAAGGGAGAGGGTTTAAGGCTTTTTCGTAATTAGGGAGTAGAAGTGCCTCTTTTGCTCGTGTTGGACGTGAGGGCTAGATATTCGAGTACAATTTCATCGGAGAATTAACGATATAGCAGGTAGTTCGTGTGCCAGTCTTTTATCTGTCTTGGGCATAACAACCGTAGACTACCGGCATACTAAAAAGCCAGTCCATTGTTGCTTTCATGCATTAGGTGGTTGCTCAGTAATTATCTTACGTTGAATGGTGCTGAAGCAAGGCATTGTCTGAAACTGTAAATAGTCTTTATTATATGTCCTGATGAAACATGAAGTCTAAGTACAGAGTTGGAGCACACTGTGCCTTTGTTCCCTTTTTAAAGACTTCTTTATCTAAAGTATACTATGTACCAACCCGGGGAACAAAGAGTATTCTCTATGGGAGATAGCAAACCAAGAGTGTCTATCCTGTGCCCAGAAAGAAAGACAGACCTCTACAGCTTAGACTTCTTCTGGCCTTTGACGTTGGGGACGGGGTTGCCTGAAAGAAGGAAATCGGGATACGCAAGTTTACCCGATGTTGCCCCAGTGGTCGACATCCGCCAGGATGCGCCGTCAACTATAACGGTGTTAACATACTATTTATGATGAATCTGGATAAGATGAGACTCACCCACTAGAGTTTGGCCACTGACATAACTGCCAGTGTCCGCAAAGAGATAAACCGTGGCATCTGCAATGTCGCGCACTGAGCCGACTCGGCCAAGCGGCTGTGACTTGATGTAAGTGTCCTTCGTATCACTAGGAAGGAGACGATCAAGGCCCTATGATAAAAGTTAGATGTGCGTATCTATACAATATGTGGGACGAATACAAACCTCTGTCGAAGCAATGGGTCCGGGCGCAATGATATTAGAAGTGACACCCAGAGGGCCAAACTCGATAGCCACACTGTGAGACAGCGCATCCACGCCTGCCTTGGCGACTGAGACGTGCGTCTGGAAAGGTGCCGTGCGATAGTGGAGAGTGGCGCTAACAAAAATGATACGTCCTCCGGTGCCTGCTGCAGAGGGTTTGACTGATGATGGTACGATGTTAGCGCTTATCGCGAATATCGCGAATATCGTCCACTTACGAGTTTCGGAGTCCATTCTGTGCTTCTTTGCCGACTCAACAAGGTATGGGATCGTCGCTTTGAGGGTGTTGTAGGATCCCAGAACGTCAATGTCGATGACCGATTTGAAAGCATTCGCCGAGAGCTGGTTGATCGAGGCTAGAAAGTTTCCGGCCGCCCCAGCACTGGGTAGTTTAACCCAGATTAGTAGAGAACCAGCCAAAACGAAGTGACACTTACATGACATAGTCAATACCACCCAGCTCCTGGGCACAGCGATCTGCAGCAGCTTGAAGACTGTCCAACTTTCGTACATCCACTGCACCAATGCCAATGACCTTAGCACCCGGACGGGCAGTTGCAATGTCCTGGGCTGCTTTCTCGGTCTTTTCGACATTTCGGCCAATAATGCAAGCATTTGCACCTAGATGAACCAGAGCGCGAACCTGCGCGCTGCAAATGGTTCCTGCACCTCCCGTACAGAAGACGACCTTGTTTGCTGCTGATTATCAGTGACCGCCGGAGCATGTGGTGACCGCCATGGGCCGACTCACTGAACAGGCCATCCTTCCACGTGTTACTTAGGTAGGCTTCTTTGGGGAGGGACATGGTAAGAATATTATGTAAGTATATACACTGTATGTATGAGAAGGACGATCTTGTTAAGTCGCTACTTGGCAATTTTCAGGTTACCCCAGAGAGTTGATAGTTATAATGGAAACCCCGGGTGGTCGTTGAATGGAATCTCCGCAATCCGACGGTTACTCCGAGTCCAAGCCTCGGCTTCTCGTCTTGAATACTAATCGGGTCTAAACTCTATTCGGTAGGTTAGTCTTTGGTGAATCCACTCTTTGTGCCTCCTTTGGGCTTAGTTCCGTGAGAGACATGACTTCAAGGAGCTAGCTGAAATAGGACTAGCTTCGGATGCGTCTCGGAATGTTAACAGCGAGCTGGTGATTGGCTGACAGGTCTCCGCCAGCCTCAGGCATGCAACAACGTCACTTCTTCTGCCATCGCGAACTTTTCTATGGCCTTATCTTTGCACCCGCCTTGAAGTTTTAAGCGCACCACGTCTTCAATCAGCAAATCATTCTACCAGGCGCCTCGAAAAGTGATTTTCCATCCTCCTTAGGGGAGCAAATCTTTCAAGTCACAACGTTCCTGTTGCAGCATTGACTTTCGTCCCGCGATCACCATGGCGTGTCCCATCACCGTCTCGAAGTTCGTTGGCACAGTGTCCCTGGGACTGCTCACGGTATGATTTCTATGACCTGTTGCGAAGATTTTGAGCCTTCTGGGCTAGATCTCATCAAAGCTGTCCAACCGCCAACTGACGCGCAATGTATCATCTCTAGGGCATGTCATACTCCGCTTCCAGTGTCACCATCCCCTCCCTGAGTCTTCTTCCCACTGCTACCACCGCGTCCCGGTCCCTCAACGAGGTGAAGCGGTTGAACCGTAAACATGGTCTGCGGCTGACCAACATCGCCAACGGATGTCTCCTGTTCGCGTATAGCCTCTCTTCTAAACAGCGCAAGCACCCTTATCTGATCTGGATGTGCGTTACCTCGACCGTTGGCTCTTATGTTTTCGACTATTGGTTCCACGGCCAGGATGGCTTCGTAGCTTGGGTCCAGTCTGTTCTGCAGGACACCGGATGCGGCTGCCTGACCGTCCAGAAGCAGAAGAAGGATGAGGACATCGTGGTGGTCGAGGCAGAGGAGAATGTCAACGGTGAAAGTGTACAGAAGGAGATGAACACGGAGCGTCGATTCCAGCAGGTGCGGGCTGTATTCTCTGGTCTTGCACTCGCCATGGGTATCGTTGGGCTTTGGGGCGACCGTCGGCCTTCTATTTAATTCGGACCAACCGGGTATCGAATGAGGCGTGCATGATGAGTCCCACTGGGCTTCATTCTATCCACTCCTTTCCTTTGGTTCTTTGCTTCTATCTTCTCTTTCTGTCTTAACACCTTTGGTCATTTATTCACGACCGCCACGATGCGTCTGTTGTATGTATGCTGGGCTGGAGATTGCCTAGTGTCCTTCCTATCTTTGATGAGCGTTCAATTTGGATCGGAGTTTGAGAGCTACTACCTATGTATTTGACCTTAATAAACAAATGACCAACAACCACATGAAGTATCAAGCCTGCCCTAGAGATATATAACATGACACTCAAATGAACCACTGTAACAACACTACAGACAACCCGAATATTATTACCATTATTACAACACACTGAACCCCTCCTATTCAATAAAATCAACACATAACAACCCCCATCACCAACCCTAACACAACCCACCCCATAACCCCAGCTTTATACCCCCTCCTCCCCAAACTCCCACTAGTACTCTCATCACCCCCTCCACTTTCACCCTCACTCCCACTCCCACCACTTTGACTCCCACTCACCCAAGGCTGCCCCTTCAAAGTATCATTACTCTCCCTCAACACCTCCCACCCCACCCACTCATTCTCCAACACCGCACAATCCACCCTTTCCTCACTCTCCCCAATAGCATTCGTCACCGAAATCGGCAACTCAAACACCGTATAATAATCCGTCCCCTCCCACCGGAAACTCTGATGCACAGAGACATTATAATCTCCCCGGGGGGATTTATCCCCACCATTCCCCACGAAACAAGCCGGCCAGATCCAGTTCACGTGCTTGACGGTGGATGAGGGCTCGAGATCTAGCACGGGCCCCACGTAGGTGTTGTTTGCGCTGGGAGTGGTTCCATTCGAAATAGTGAGGTTTTTGTGAGTGGTTGTGGAGGTGAGGAAGAGGTTGAGGCTGTGGAATGCGGTGGAGGAGGAGGAGGAGCTGGAAGAGGTGAGTTGGCCGTCGCCGGAGGTGTCGATGGCGATTTGGAGGGTGTCTGTGTTTATTAGTTTTTTTGCTTAGTTGGGGGTTTGATTGGGGGTGAATGGATGGATGGATGGACGTACCTCCTCCGAGGGGAGTATAGGGCTGTGGAGCATCGATGATGGCTAGGCCCGGGGTGTAGATTTGGCCGTTGATGATGGTGAAGTTCATGGTGTCTTTCTCTGCTGGATATTACTTGGTACGGTTATTCTAAAAGATGAGAAATAATTTTATAAAAGCTACATTGTGGTGAAGGGGGTTATTTGTCTATTATCTATCTACTGCTTAAGTGATGGACCCTGAAATTGATTTAATTTCCGAACCTCCGGGCGACCCCTCAGGGACTTGATTGCTTTTGCTTGCTTGCTCCCCACTTGGCTGTCAGACACCATCGGATTTAACCGAAATGAACGCTTAGTGGGGATTTCCAGGGACGAGAGGGTAATCTCGTATATTGGATGTTTTAATTTGTTTGCTCTTGGTCGTCTCGGTTATATACTGCATCCCCTGTCTACAAGCCAACGAGGGACTACTAGTACTAGCGGGAAATGATTGTATCTTCCACTTTCACAGCCCACAACACCAGAGGGCATAACTAGCAGCCTACATAAAAACAGGCTGAATCTTCCCTGCTGCACGGTCAGCCAGTCTCTCCGGTATCATAACCTCATATACATGTTGCGCCCATGCGCAACACACCCGTCGAGTATCCTTCGGGTCGATGATTTCCTCAACGCCAAATGCATTTGCCGTCCGCACTGGGTTCATCAACCGTCGATACTCCTCTTCCAGCTCTTTATACCGGGCTTCCTTCTGGCCCGATTTCTCCGCTTCGCGCAGCTCGTGACGATGCGCGACCTCAATCCCACCTTCCAATGGCAAGGACCCCCATTGACCGGATGGCCAAGCCACTTGCATGACCGGGTCGCGCGCTCCAAGCATAAGACCTCCAGCCACGCCATAGGCTCGTCGCGTAATGACATTAAACAGGGGCATCGTCGTGGTGAAATATGTCTTGCCTAGTTCCACACCCCAGCGCATAGTCGCGGTTCGTTCTGCGACGGTGCCAATGGCGTACCCCGCTATATATGGTCAGCGAAGATACTCCTAAAGGGAAGAACACAGCGTAGCACTTACGAACGTCAATGAACTGCAAAACAGGCAGATTCATCACATCACAGAGCTTCAGTAGGCGCGCAAGCTTCTGACTTCCTGCTGCATCCAGAGCTCCCCCATTGACCTCACAATTGAGCGATATCACGCCCACCGGTCGCCCTCCCAGGCGCGCCAGACCCCCGATAGCAGTGCGGCCCCAAAGTGCACCAATCTCGAACCATGACCCCTTGTCCACGACACTGGTGATAATAGTCCACGGGTTGTACATGCGCGTCTGCCGTCGAGGGATGATCCGGCGCAGCGCCTCATCCTCGCGGTCTTCTGGATCATCAGCAGCAATAACCGGTGGTGCTTCCCGTCCAGAGTTGGGCAGGTAGCTCAACACAGTGCGCAGCTGCTCGTAGCACTCGGCTTCGTTGGCGGCTAGATTGTCGATGGTCCCATTAGTGCAATGTATCATCGGGCCACCTAGAGTCTGGAAGTCCAGTCCTTCCTCGAACGTGGCTCCCTTGACTACTTCCGGGCCTGCGTTGAAGAGCGATCCCACATCCGCCGCCATAACGGAGAAATGACAGGATACTACTCGTGCAGCTCCCAATCCAATCTATACACCACTGTCAGCTGATACATTTACCACTCGAAGATGGATGATGATGGGTTTCAAAAAACATACAGCCGGCCCAACCACAGCCCCCAGATTCGGAATCCCCTGATTCAACTGCTCCACGACGTGCCTATACATCGACACATACGGCAAATAACTCCACCCAGCCGTACGAATCGTAGTAACACTACCTCCTCCGGAACTCCCATCCACCAACTTAACAACCGGCAACCTCAGCGCCAATGCCAGCTTCTCCAGATAGATCGTTTTCCCATGCGAAGCACCATCCGCATGACCACTCCGGAGAGTGAAATCATCCGCAGTCAGTAGGACTTTCCGACCACGCAATCTCCCCATACCCTGGACATTGTTACTGGGTGTAAAGGCAACGGGCTTCTCGCGCATAGGCCCGGTTTTCTCCCATGTTACAGTACCCGAGAGCGAGCCGATTTCTTGGAAGCTGTCGGGATCGAGAAGTTGTTCGAGACGTTCGCGAACCCATAACTTCCCGGCTTGCTTTTGGCGGATGTAGCCTCTGCGAGATGGGTCTGGGGTGGAGGCTAGTGTGCGGAGAGTGTTGATGTGGGAGAGCACGTCGGAGTAGTCGGGTGGTAGTACCTGTGCGGAGAGTTGGCGGAGGCGTTTGGTGGCTTTGCTGCGCTGAGGCGCGTCTTCTTTGGGGGGTTTGTCGGTTTTGTCTGACATGATGTGTTCCAATTAATTATGTGGTTTTCATGTCATTTATTCAAGCTGTGGTTGTCGAGCTTATTTTCAATTGCAGGGCTTCCCCCTTGCATGTTACTGCAGCGGGTTGTCCCTCATGAGGGGTAAAGATCATATCTATGAGCGCAACGGTCTCTTAATTCCGAGGTCCGAGGAATGCAACCAACCCCATCTAGACATACAACAGTCAATCCAATCTAACCTATCTATGCTTTCGAATTCATCAATCTTTCCCTACAACATACCATTACCATGATGACATTCTCTAAACCCTTCCGACGACTCCTCGTCGCCAACAGGTAAGCCATTGCCTAATCTCCACATTACACCGTACTGACAAGCAACAGAGGCGAAATCGCCGTGCGCATCATCCAAGCCGCTCGCGAGCTC